AATAACGTGAGACAAATACTCTATTATTATTTCATTTCGTTTAAAACAAATTTAAACTGTTTAATAACATAATAAGTAAGCCTTAATATTTATTTTGGCTTATAGAATCGACTTTCCAAAGATATTCTATGAATTTAATTAACACTCTGTGTAACGATAAAACGTGTAATAATTTAATCTTGGAATATATGGATTTTTTTATAAAATGAAATTTTTGAAGCAACGCTTAAAAATGAAACTTCAAAGAAACGGTTCACATTCTCTGGATACTTGAAACGTTGCTAGCTTCTGCTGAGTTTCACTTGAATTTCCACCACGCTCAGCCCTCGACTGCCTCCTTAAGTTCAACACCCGCGGTCTTTTATTGTTAGCCACTGGGAAAGGGTATCGAAGTTGTTGCTTTATAATGGAAGAGCCAATACGTGATCGCCTCTATAGGTTCTTTTCATGGCTCTCGTAACGACAGGAGCTATTAGATAACACGTGACCTGTTACAGAACTATCCCTTGCTCCGGTGCTTCTATCGAGTTTCCAGAAGCTGTCGTAAAATTATAGTAACGATTAATTTAAAAGGAAAAGAAAGAGTGTTACGCCTTGAACAATTTTACAATCGTTCAGTTTTTTCAAAGTAGAAGTAAAAAAAAAAAAAAAAAAATAAAAAAGAAAGTAGAAAAATTGAAAATTGAATATATTCAAGAAAGATTAAAAATTAAAAATTTCTTAAATAATCTTGCCTCTTGAATGAATTATATTATTCGTATATTTATTAATTTCAGTTTTGATAGAAAAAAATATTTGTGCCATTCAAGATATGAACTTGAATAAATATAATAATAAATTTCATTATTTATTCTGTTAAAAGTAAAACTGTAAGTGAACTATAAAAGTGAATAAGACATATCTTTTAAAAATCTGAATGCTAAAAAAAAAATAAATATAAAATATAAAAGAAAATGTGAAAACGAAGATATAGATGCACGAGTGATTGAAACGAAGGAGCTCTTACAAGGACAGACAAGATGGAAAGTAAAAAAATAACGCTGGTATGGTTAATACGTCTTTTTCTACGTGTCTATTTATTATGAAAATATAATACAAAACATCCTATGTTGTATTACATAGATAACAATGCTCAATTAACGTTTTATTCCCTTTTGTCTTGTAACGTTACCATCCAACACTATGAGAAGCATGTCAGGATAGGTAAAGTTCGTGTTCTCTTATTCCGTGTTCTTCTTCATCTTCGTCATTTATTTTTCTCTTTTTTTTTCACATTTTTCCCTTCATCGTTTTTTTTTTTATTATTATTATTATTATTATTTTACTTCGTTTTTGGAGGAAAAGGCCCGATATTACAGAGAGAGAAGATACATATAATAGACGAGAGACGTTACAGAGCGAAAAATTACAAACTGGAACGGAGAAACGAAAGTATTCTGGTGTTCTTTTTAATGATTCTTCTTTTTTTTTTTTCACATTTCATTAGAAAACGGTTGTCCGTTCGAACGAGCGGAACAGGAACAAGGGCGGGAGTTTATTTTCCATTTCCTTCTTTTTTTTTTTCCGTTTTTTTCTTTTTTTTTTCTTTTTTTTTTTTCTTTT